ACTCCCAGACAGGGGTGTGGCCAGCGCTCGGGCGAGAGCGCCAATCCCATCCAGGAATGGGGCTTGTGCGCGACCAGCAGCATCATCTGCAATGAGGGCTCTAGCCTTTTGAAGCCCTGGGAAGTTTCCTGAGAATCTTGTGGAAGCATTCTGGAAACTCTGGGGGCCTCTTGGGCTTTCTTGGGAGTCCTTTTGGGGCTCTTTTGGGCCGGCTGTGGGCCCTTGGAGCCCTCTTGGGCCGTCCTGGGGAGCTGGGGCCGTCTTGGACCCTCTGGGGGCCCTCTTCGGCCGTCCAGGGGGCCTCCCATGGCCTTCTTGGAGCTCCCTTGGGGCCCCTGTGGGACCCTCTGGGGCCCCTATCGGGGGGCTCTTAGACCATCTTGGACGCTGTCAGAGCTGGAGAAGCGAATATGCTAAAAATGCACGTCTCCCGCAAGGAATCTTGATGGTTGTTGCTTCTTAGGGGCCCTCTGGGGAGGCCTCTTGGGCCGTTTCAAACCTCTCTGGTCGTGAAGAAACCGTCTTGAGCTCTCTCGGAGCGCTCTCGGGCCGTCTTGGGGCCGTTTCGGGCATGTCTGAGGCCGTCTGGAAAGTGCCTTTTGCCGTCTGGGAGCCCGATGTAAGCCCCGGGGCGCTCTCGTAGGGTTTCCTTGGGCCGTCTGATTGGGTCCTTCTCCGGCCATCAGGGGGGGCCGAAAGGGTATACATCCCCCCCCCCGGGCGGGGGGGACGGTGACATGCCAGGTTTTCCCTGTACCATTTCATAAGTAGAGAATATTCCTCTTCCTATATGTTTACAAGCCCCGGGAGGGGGGGGAGGGGGGGGGGGGGGGGGGAAACCCCACCCCCCCCCAAAAAAAACTGGACCCCCGGGATCTGGGATTCTCGGGCTCCCTTGGACGTCCTTGGAAAAGGTCACCCGGCTTTCCGGGTCTCCACAAACGCCTTCCCAGCAGACCCAGAGTGATCCGAGGGATCATCAGAAAGGCTCAAGGGAGGCCCCAGACAGCACAAGAGCGCTCCAAGAGGGACTCCACTTGCGTCAGGACGGCCCGAAAGACCCCCAAGGCACCCCAAAAAGCTTTACAAGGGGCCTTCAAGGCACAAAACTTACAATTTTAGCTTTTTCGCCTTCTGGATGTCATCAGCTTTCAAAACGGTTTCAAAGCCCCCGAGATCGCCTCAAGACGCCCCAAAAGGCCCCCAAGAAAGCTTCAAGACGGCCGAGCCGGGCCCCACAATCGCCCACGAAAGCCCCAAGACAGCCCGTAATGGAACCAAGAGGCCCCCCAAGGGCTCCCAGCACAGACCCAAAAGGGCCATGGGAGGCCAAGATGGGTCCAAAGGGGGCTCCAGCGGGCCCAAGCTCCCCAAGACGGCCCAAGAAGGCCCCAGGACGGCCCATGAAGGCGCCAAAACGGCCCACGAGGGCCCCGAAAACACCCCCACGATGTTTCCGAATGCCAACATAAAGACCCCCAAGGCACCCCAAAAGCTTTCCAAGGGGCCTTCAAACCACAAAAATCGTCCCATTCCCTTTGTAAAACTTACAATTTAGCATATTCGCCTTTCGGATTTCATCAGCTTTCAAGACGGTTTCAAAGCCCCCGAGATCGCCTCAAGACGCCCCAAAAGGCCCCCAAGAAAGCTTCAAGACGGCCGAGCCGGGCCCCACGATCGCCCACGAGAGCCCCAAGACAGCCCATAATGGAACCAAGAGGCCCCCCAAGGGCTCCCAGCACAGACCCAAAAGGGCCATGGGAGGTCCCCAGAAGTGCCCAAGATGGGTCCAAAGGGGGCTCCAGCGGGCCCAAGCTCCCCAAGACGGCCCAAGAAGGCCCCAGGACGGCCCATGAAGGCGCCAAAACGGCCCACGAGGGCCCCGAAAACATCCCCACGACGTTTCCGAATGCCAACACAAAGACCCCCCAGGCACCCCAACAAGCTTTCCAAGGGGCCTTCAAACCACAAAAATCGTCCCATTCCCTCCGTAAAACTTACAATTTTAGCTTTTTCGCCTTCTGGATGTCATCAGCTTTCAAAACGGTTTCAAAGCCCCCGAGATCGCCTCAAGATGCTCCAAAAGGCCCCCAAGAAAGCTTCAAGACGGCCGAGCCGGGCCCCACGATCGCCCACGAGAGCCCCAAGACAGCCCATAATGGAACCAAGTGGCCCCCCAAGGGCTCCCAGCACAGACCCGAAAGGGCCATGGGAGATCCCCGGAAGTGCCCAAGATGGGTCCAAAGGGGGCTCCAGCGGGCCCAAGCTCCCCAAGACGGCCCAAGAAGGCCCCAGGACGGCCCATCAAGGCGCCAAAACGGCTCACGAGGGCCCCGAAAACACCCCCACGATGTTTCCGAATGCCAACATTCATTGATTTTGCCTCCATGACATTTCACATTGTGACCCAGTCATTGCTCTGGCGTGCACCGACAAAGCACGTACGAGTTGCATACGCATTTTCATACCAATACACACGTAAATTTATATGTACCTATGTACGCTGTATACACACATACAACAATGTAAGTATACTGTATACACCTAGACAAATATACGGAACGTGCGTGCACGTGCTCGTGTATACATGCATGCGCGCATGTACGCACGGGTGCAGAACTCAAAGGACCAAGGTGCATGGCGCGCAGCGCCAATGCAGTCTTATATATGTAATATGTATGCCTATATATATATATATATACATATATATATATATATATATATAGCATACATATTCATCTTCCTATATTTGTTTTTACAAGCCCGGGGGGGGGGGGGGGGGAAACCCTCCCCCCCAAAAAAAAATGGACACCCGGGATCTGGGGCTCGGGCTCCTTGGACGTCCTTGGAAAAGGTCACCCGGCTTTCCGGGTCTCCACAAACGCCTTCCCAGCAGACCCAGAGCGATCCGAGGGGTCATCAGAAAGGCTCAAGGGAGGCCCCAGACAGCACAAGAGCGCTCCAAGAGGGACTCCAATTGCGTCAGGACGGCCCAAAAGACCCCCAAGGCACCCCAAAAAGCTTCCCAAGGGGCCTTCAAAGCACAAAAATCGTCCCATTCCCTTCGTAAAACTTACAATTTTAGCATATTCGCCTTTCGGATTTCATCAGCTTTCAAGACTGCGGTTTCAAAGCCCCCGAGATCGCCTCAAGACGCCCAAAAGGCCCCCAAGAAAGCTTCAAGACGGCCGAGCCGGGCCCCACGATCGCCCACGAGAGCCCCAAGACAGCCCATAATGGAACCAAGAGGCCCCCCAAGGGCTCCCAGCACAGACCCAAAAGGGCCATGGGAGGTCCCCGGAAGTGCCCAAGATGGGTCCAAAGGGGGCTCCAGCGGGCCCAAGCTCCCCAAGACGGCCCAAGAAGGCCCCAGGACGGCCCATGAAGGCGCCAAAACGGCCCACGAGGGCCCCGAAAACACCCCCACGATGTTTCCGAATGCCATCACAAAGACCCCCAAGGCACCCCAACAAGCCTTCCAAGGGGCCTTCCAAACACAAAAATCGTCCCACTCCCTTCGTGAAACTTACAATTTTAGCTATTTCGCCCTCTGGATGTCATCAGCTTTCAGGACGGTTTCAAAGCCCCCGAGATCGCCTCCAGACGCTCCAAAGGCCCCCAAGAAAGCTTCAAGACGGCCGAGCCGGGCCCCACGATCGCCCACGAGAGCCCCAAGACAGCCCATAATGGAACCAAGAGGCCCCCCAAGGGCTTCCAGCACAGACCCAAAAGGGCCATGGGAGGTCCCCGGAAGTGCCCAAGATGGGTCCAAAGGGGGCTCCAGCGGGCCCAAGCTCCCCAAGACGGCCCAAGAAGGCCCCAGGACGGCCCATGAAGGCGCCAAAACGGCCCACGAGGGCCCCGAAAACACCCCCACGACGTTTCCGAATGCCAACATAAAGACCCCCAAGGCACCCCAAAAAGCTTTCCAAGGGGCCTTCAAACCACAAAAATCGTCCCATTCCCTCCGTAAAACTTACAATTTTAGCATTTTCGCCTTTCGGATGTCATCAGCTTTCAAGACGGTTTCAAAGCCCCCGAGATCGCCTCAAGACGCTCCAAAAGGCCCCCAAGAAAGCTTCAAGACGGCCGAGCCGGGCCCCACGATCGCCCACGAGAGCCCCAAGACAGCCCATAATGGAACCAAGAGGCCCCCCAAGGGCTCCCAGCACAGACCCAAAAGGGCCATGGGAGGTCCCCGGAAGTGCCCAAGATGGGTCCAAAGGGGGCTCCAGCGGGCCCAAGCTCCCCAAGACGGCCCAAGAAGGCCCCAGGACGGCCCATGAAGGCGCCAAAACGGCCCACGAGGGCCCCGAAAACACCCCCACGATGTTTCCGAATGCCAACATTCATTGATTTTGCTCCCATGGCATTTCACATTGTAACCCAGTCGTTGAGGGTCTCGTGGCATGCAGCGAAGATGCCCGAGAATGCCCCGTACGAGTTGCATATGCATGTTCATACCCTTACACACATAAATTGATATGTACATATGTACGTTGTATACACACATACAACAATGTAAGTATATTGTATACACCTAGACATCTATACGGAACATGCATGCACGTGCGCGTGTATATATGCATGCGCGCATCTACGCACGCACGCATTCCGCTTGCGCGCAGAACTCAAAGGACCAAGGTGCATGGCGCGCAGCGCCAATGCAGTCTTGTATATATATACACATATATATATACATATATACATATACATATATATACATAGTTATATATATATATATATATATATATATATATATGTATTAAGACCACCGACGGTCTGCCAGCGATTTGGCGAGCCACACAGTTCGCCACAGGCAAATCTGACAGGCTGGTCGCTGAACGCTGGTCGGGGACGCGCACTCTCTCTCTCTTAGTTTTTTTCCTCGCGCGCAGGAGCTGCGGCGGCCTTCCGCGCCGCCCCCGCACGCGGCGCTCCCTGCTCCTCCTCCTCCTCCTCCTCCTCCTCCTCCTCCTCCTCCTCCTCCTCCTCCGCCTCTATCCCGACGCGAACGCAGCCTGGGCCGCCGACTGGGATGTCGATATGCGCGGCACCGCCTGGCTGCGCCGGGCTATCTCCTGCAGGAGCTCGTCCCGCACGGAGTGGCTGATCAGGTTCCTCTGCAGGGCCCAGTCGACGATGTCGGTGGCCACCGAGTGCTTGCCTTCGGGCTCCCGGGCCAGCATGAACGCCTGGCTCCTGAACTCGATCTCTATCTCGCCGTCCTGGGGGAACCAGCTCGGCTCTCCATCCACCTCCACTGGCAGGTCGGCCCTGGTGGTGATCTTCACTCGGGATGCCTGAGCCAACCGCGTCGCCGAGTACAGGCCGACCTGAGCGGCGCCCAGCTGCAAGATCCCGTGCACGCCGACAACCTCCAGCTTCTTGTCCTGCTTTGACTGCCGCGTGCCCACAAAGGCACTTCTCTTGTCGGGGGCCTCACTGCCAACCGCGGGGGCGGACTTGGCTGGGGACGCGTCGCACTTGTCCGCGTCCTCCTCGGAGTCGTCCTCCTCCGACTCGTCCACCTCGAGCTCGTCCTGGCCCCAGAGGTTCGTGCCGCCGGAGAAGCTGGGGATGTTCAGCACGATGACGCCCTCTAAGTCGTCGGGAATCTGCACCTCCTCCCCGTCGCACTCCAGCGTCACCTTAGAACCAATATCTTTGCAGCGATTCTCCATCAGAGTGTTGGCACCACTCGTCATGTACCACAGCTTGTTCACAACCCGCGAGAAGAAGAGGTGAGGCAGCCGCTCCCGCATCCGGTGGAAGTCCAGAGCCACGGCGGCGTCCACGCCCAGCCCGAAGTAGTTGCACATCACGTAGGATTTGCGCTCCAGCTTGGGCACCGCGGGGAGAAACTGCGGCCTCTGCATCCAGCCCAGCCGGCCCTGGCCCGCTCCGTCCTCGCAGGCCGCGGTGCGGCAGGTCACGGCCCACCTGTCCAGCAGCTCCACGTGCGCCTCGTCGACCTGCTTGAGGCACTCGAGAACGCTGCCGCCGGTGTAGCCGCCGCCCCAGCCCGTGACTCGCGCCAGGTCGTTGCCAGTACCCAGGGGCAGGATCGCTGCTGTTAGGTCGGGCATGTCCCCCTGCAGGCGGATGTTGGACGAAAAAGAAAAATCCAGAAACTACTCCAAAATAGTACAAAAAATAGAAGTCGTCCCATCTTTTTTTGACTATGTTTGAATACTCCCCCTGTGGAGGGACAGGCCCGACTTAACGCTACTGGCGGGACGTACTTGAGCGCCATCTGCTCCAGGACGCCCAGCACCCAGCCCACAGTGCCGTCGCCACCGCAGACCAGAATGCGGTAGGTGACCTCCGTCCTGCTCCACCACTCCAGGGCGGCCTCCGGACCCTCTCTCTGCAGGTCAACGATCTGCAGCTCGTGGAGGTAGGCAGACAGCTCGCAGAATACCTGCTCTCCCTGCTTGCCCCCGCTGCGGCTGTTGACGAAGACCAGCACTGGACGCCCATCTTTCAGCTCCGCGGGGTCCACCCGGGAGTGCGCCCACCGCTCGGGGTCCTGGTGCCCCACGAGGTGGGCGCGCGCCTTCTGCGCCTGCAGCCAGGCGGCCTTCCGCAGCGCCCGCACCGTCTCCAGCGCCCCGGGGCCCGCCGCGCCCCCAGCCGGGTCGACGGGGGCGCGCGACACCTGCGCCACTGCCTTCGAAGGCAGGATCAAGCGCCGGATCTCGCGCCGGCCCCTCTTCTGCTCGAACAGCTTCACCCGAGAGCGCGGGACGTCCAGCAGCACGTCCAGCAGCAGCGCCAAGGCCCACGCCAGGACGACTGTGGTCACCACGGTGCCCAGGAGCGACCACTCCGAGCGCTCGGCGCCCAGCAGCCGCGGGAGCTCCCACCACAGGTCTGGCGCGGCGCCGCTGGCCAGCGCGTCGCCGAGGGGCACGGCGCTCATCTGGCGGGGCCCGCCTCTGCCTCGGAGCGGGGCGCCCAGCTGCCCATGGGAGAGGCCCCTCGCGACGAGCACGGCGCGCCCCCCGCTCTGGGGCTGCGCGGCGGCGCCCCTGCCGCCTCTCCGGGGAGTGCGGGCGCGTGAGCCAAAACGGCTACGGAGTCGGGGGCGCGCGCACTCTTGCCAGGCCTCCCACAGGGCCGAAGGACGACATTGGTCCTGTGAAGCGGGAGGGGGATGGGGGGAGGGAGGGGATGGGAGGCACTTCTTGGAGCATTAGGCATGAGGCATAAGCAGAAAATCCTCCTCCTCCTCCTCCACCTCCTCCTCCTCCTCCTCCTCCTCCTCCTCCTCCTCCTCTGCTCTTGGTCCCGCTCATGTCTCTCCTGCCCCTCCGCCTCCTCCTTCTCCAGGGCATCCGAGGCCCACCAGCGCCACCGGGACGTTGTCCTCCCCCAGCAAAATCTTCCTCCTCCTCCTCCTCCTCCTCCTCCTCCTCCTCCTTCTCCTCCTGCCCCTCCCGCTTCCCCTCATCCCGCTCCTCCCATCATGCTACCTGTTTCCTTGCCTGCCCCTGCCGCCTCAAGCGCGGCTCCCTTCGCGCTCTCGAGACGCCCCCTCTGGAGAGGGAAAATTCCTCGAGGCCGGTCACCTTCGCTTCGCGCCCCTGCGGGCGCCCGATCGGCCCTACGCCGAGCCCAGCCTGACCGAGGAGCCTGTGGAGGTGCCTCGCTCCGCAGGCGGGTGGCGGAGGCCATGAGGCACCATGGCAAAAGAGCGCACGTGCGCGGGAGGATTGGTGGTCAGGCATCAAATGCGTATACCTATAAAAAATAGACCTACATACAGACATCCATACATACATACAGACAGGCAGACAGGCAGACAGACAGACAAACAGTCATGAATACATGCATGCATACTTATATATATATATATATATACATGCACACATATATACGTACATACGTACATACATATATACATGCATACATACATGCATGCATGCATGCATGCATACATACATACATACATATATATATATATGTACATACATACATGCATGCGTACATACATACATATATATATATATATATATACATAGCGACATACCAACATACATACATACATACATACATACATACATACATGCATGCATACATACATACATACATACATACATACATACGTACGCACGTACGTACGTACGTGCATACATACATACATACATACATACATACATACATACATACATACATACATACATATAGACCTGCATGCATACAGACATACATACATAGATGCATGCATGCATGCATGCCTGCCTGAATGCATGCATACATACATACATGCACGTGGACGATGGAAGTTTACACAAAAATGCAAACGAACAAACATTCAAACCTACAAACATACTGGTCTACATAAACTACGTACGTACTCGCCTACTAACATAATTGCATGCACGCCTACATGCAAACATACATACATGCATGCATACGCCTAAATGGATACCTACATTCGTAGATAATTCAGACATGCAAACATACATGCATACTGATATACACACATACATACACTCATACATACATACATACACATGCATGCATACATTCATACGTGCATGCATACATCCGTGCATGCACACATACATACGTACATACATACGTGTGCACAGTCGTAAACAGATACATACACATATACATACATACATACATGCATACATACATGGATACATACATACATACACAGATGCATACCTGCAGACACACATGCATACCTGCATGCATGCATACATGCATGCATGCATGCATGCAAATATTTAAGACATGCATACATACATACGTACATACATACGTGCATGTATACATTACACACATACATAAATAAATGCATACACACACGCACATACATACATACATAAAACTAGCCATAACCAAAAGAGAGAGAGAGAGAGAATAAACAAAGAGAGAGCAAGGGAAAGAGAGAGAGAGAGAGAGAAACAAACAAACAAACCAAAAGATCATGAAAATGTGCTTCCACGCATATACATACACACCTACATGTGTCGATGCACCCCTTAAGTATACATATACATGTAAATATACATATATATATAGAGATAAATAAATAAATAAATACATAAATAATACATCGAACGTTCCGCATGAAATCGAGAAAATGTTATTCTAACCGCTGCCAAGGAAAACAATCCTGACTGCGAGAAGCACTGCATGCGCAGACTCTCCTCTCAGCAAAAATGTATGCCCCTGCGCTTGTACAAAACGGGCCCCTGGACCTCTCCTGGAGCGCGCTCCGACCGGGAGCTCGAGAGGGGCGGATCCGGCCGTGGCGACGAGGACCCAAAACGGCAACCAATCAGTCAAAACCCATCTGGCACCGCACTTCCTCACATCCCGCGACTTTTTTCCGAGGCGTAGGCCCAGGGACATGTCGACCCCATCCCCACGGACCGCTGCTTCTCCCCAGCGCGTCTGCGACGCTCTCGAGGTCCAGGGGCCCGAAGCGGCCGCCCAGGCTAGTGAAAGCAAGTCCACCCCGATTCCGGTTGAGGAGCACATGGAGGCACCTCGCTCCGGAGGGGGAGACGGAGGGCGTGAGACTCAACGGCAACATAACGCGCATGCGCAAGAAATGAAGCGGTCAGGGCAACGCTGAAAGACATAGATTGTACATCAAGTGTTCCGCACGAAGTCCATAAATGCATTTTCCAACCGCCCCCCGAAAAGCGTTCCAGTCTGCGGATAATGTTCATTAGATTCAGGCCGTCGTTATCTCAAAAAAGACACACACGCAAAACAACGACAACAACAACAACGACAACAACAACAACAAAGACAACGACAACAACAACAACAAAAATTCTTTTGCTCCGAGGGATCCCCACCGAAGCCTCAAGCGTTTGTGCCCGACGGCGCGCGGAAGCCGAATTGGTCGATAACTGCCGTTCCTGGATTCAAAAACGGCTCAACCGTGTTCCATGTGGTCACGTTGTTTCATGTTATGCTCTATTATGTCCTGTTCTGTTCTCGACGGGCCGGCGTGACGTCGTCACGCCTGTGACGTGAGATGCGACGTCTGTTTTGATGTTTCTCTTCACATATATGTTTCTCTCCTGAGTGAGAATGAGATGTTTTGCTCATCTCTGTCACAATATGTATTGAGATGATGTGGTGTGATCTGCTCTGTGGCACCATGATAGGACATGATGCGCCATGTCAAATTATGGTATAGTATGCTCTGTTCCGTGATGCTGTTGAAGACTCGGCTCAGTACAGCATATCATGGTCTGATCTGCTAGTGCGTGTCGCTATGTTTTGCTGTCGTGCTACGATATGTTGCGTGACGCTGTCATGATATGATACGACATGTTCTGTCACGGTAAGGTATGGCATGCTCCGTGATGTGTTGCTATGTTGTGTTATGTCGCCTTCTGTTGTGTCATGCTTTGCTCTGGTGTGCTCGGTAATGTTATGTTCACTGGCGGCTCGGCCCTGGGGAATGTATTACAATACGCTCTGGAAATATGCGTCGCTGTGCTCGACTGTCGTGTTATGGTGAGTTCTGTCGTGCTGTGTCATGAAATGAAATGTTATGGCAAGGTGGGTTATGTTATGCTCGGTTATGCTATGGCATGTTGTGTTCTGTCTTATGCTATAGCATGCTCTGCTTCGGTATGCTATGCGATGCTATGTTTGTTGACAGCTCGGTTCTGTAAAGCATATGCGGACATGCTCTGCTAGTGTATGTCGCTATGCTCTGCTGTCGCGTTATGATATGATTTGTGATGCTGTGTCATGATATGACATGTTCAGTCGAGGCATGTGTGTGTTGCTGCTCGGCTATGTTATCGCATGATGTGTTCTGTCGTTTTCTGTTCTGTCGTGTCCTGCTCTGGTATGGTATTTGGTAATGTGGTGTGCCCTATGGTGATGG